CCCATTGATAAGTCGATTCGGATCAAGAATCAATCATTTAATCACCAAGATTGGAACGGTGCTTCGATTTGCCAGATAAACACGAAAATAATTCACAGGACTTTATCAGAACAGTTGAAACATTCAAAGAAAAAAGGATCAAGAAAATCTGCATTTAAAATCGATCTATACATTATACAACCTCTCGATATATACATATATATATATATATATGTATATGTATACATGTAATTGTTTATCGATTAATCGGCTTAACTTGCGAATGACTCATATACTCATTATACTCTACTCTACTCTAACAATACTCGTAGCTATTGTAATCGTACCGTATCTACTCAGTTCTGTACAACAGCAACAACAAAAACAACACACGGCTTGTGCCAGCTAAAACTAATTAAATACTCAAATAGCAACAAAGTGTTTGACCCGGCCCTGTCCGACCCCCCCTTAAATAAAAAAAAAAACTCCCCTCCGCCCCCCGCCGACCCCCTTATCCGCCACGCACCATATTCGCAACATTCGCAAATGTGATTCGTATACAATGTGAAGTAGTGTAGTGAATAGTTTGCGTATATCTAACCATATAGTATGTCGCTTTAAATGTTAGTGTTGTTCACGATTGTTGATCATGCGTATGCCAAACATGCTAATTCCAAAGATAATTGATATACTTAATACAAAAATAAATAAAACAATAAACTCGAATTGAATCATTTGATTCAAGCCTGTTTATCATGAAAGCGCTCAAATTAAAACTGCTTACTGGACTTTGGCCAACCGCCGTAAGATGATAAATTTTACGAAATTTAGAAACATATTTTCTGAAATTTTACATTTTAGAGCTACAAAAAACTTAAGAGTATTTTCTAAATTTGCGAAAATTTTTTATTCCATGGCGATTTTCTAGAGTTGAGCAGCAGAAATAAGTTTGAGTGTGTGCTTAACAATATATTGCATTTAACTATATATATTTTAAAATTATATGCCCTTAATATGGTATAAATCATTAACAATTTGTTCCCAGGAAAATAAAAAACACATCAAATGAATCTAGAGTAGAAAACATCGTCAAAATCGATTCTGTTTGGAGAGTTTTAGGGTACTTGAAGGCCAAGCAACAGCATTTGGTTCAATGCAAAAATATTACAAGTCCAAATTTGACCATCAAAAAAATATAATCTTCTTCATGATTTTGAATTAAGCACGAAATTGCTTAAAGTTTTGATTATCTTTTTAGAAATTCCAAGTAATAGCATATTTTTAAAAATGAATGCCAGTTAGCTGAGAAAACGAATCGCAGCTTTGACAATTTATGAAGGTTTTGGATTGTAAAGTCAACGAGGTGTGCGGCAACTTTGGATATAGCGACTAATTCTATGAGTCCCTAGCTTAATAAACTTGTGTGTCCTAACTAGATCTGACTAGAACATTTTGAACGGGTAATTTCATTTAACTGAAACTGAACTTTTAGTAATTGCCCCGCAACGTTAGAACTTCGGATTGCTCAGAATTTGACTTTTTGTCAAATTTGGCCACACTTTTCAGCTAGCTAGGCAGCACTTAAACTTTGCCTTAACCTCACTTTTGCTGTTAAACAAGCGGCATTCGCGCTGTTGAAATGAAATGAAATTAGTTATCGTTATTAAAATCAAGTGCTCTTTAAATATTATTTGCATATTGACAGCAGAGCACTTGACCTGATCGATTAGTGCAGTCTTCGCCCCCTTCAAGAACATATAAAATATAATGAATTCCCCCGCCCCCGAACGACACTCGCACCAAAACCAATTTGCCTCAGCTTAAGAGCTTAAGTGCAGCTGCACTCGATTTATCAAGAGACGAATTATCAGAGGCGAATTATGAGCCAAAGTAAACGATTTGGCTTAATTCCAAATTGATTTAAGCCAATTAAAAAGGTAAACAACAAATGCCAAATAAAAAAAAAATGAAAAAAACCAAAAAAAAAAAAAAAACAAAAAAAAAGAGAATATGTGCTAACAACACGAGAACACGCACGCCGCCTACCTAATCAGTAAGTACTTTGCACACACTCACACACACGCGCGTACACACGCACACACACACACACAGACACACGCACACAGGGTGCACAAACGCATTCAATACATATTAGTAAATTAGTGGCTTGTGTTAGCTAAGCACAAGTGGGCATCACCATCACGACCGATAAACCGATAAAACCGATAACTTCGCCATCGGTGCAGTCAACAATCGAATCGCAAAACGAAGTCACGAACGCAGCAGGCATTGGCATGGGAGGATAAAAAGGAGAAGATTGAAGAAGCAGCAGCAACGAGAGCAGCTAGAACGTTGCTATTAGCAGGTTTTGAAATCGCTATCGCTATCGCCAACGTTATCGCTATCGCTATCGATACAAACGTTAGACCACAAACAAATCCAAGTTTCGCTTACACCTTTCCATTGCTATGCGCTTTATCAACAGAAAAAAACAAGAAACAGCACACAAATACAGCAACGCCTGCACCACACACACACACACACCAATACACACACACACACACACACACACCAAAACACACACACTTAGCCATAGACATACGCATATGTACACCTCATTGACGTTGTACTTGTCGAATAATTCATGCTCGTATTTGGGTGTATTTTCATTTTGTTTAGTCGCAAATAACCAATCAATAAAATTCCAATTATATTTAATAATTCATTTTTTCTTTTTTCTCTATTTCTCAATTATTTTCTCTGTGCTCCTTCATGTCTATCCAACGAAAAACCGGAACTTATCAACAAACTTATCAAAAAAAAAAAAAAAAAAAACACACACTTCAAATTAATAAAACATGAAAAAAAACACCAAATAATAATAACAACAAACAAAAAAAAAACAAAAAAAAACATCTCAACACCATGTCTGCGTCTCCAAAAACCATAAATAAAATGAATATATCTACAAATAGTTATTCATGATAGATAACTGCGCCGACGATTGGAGGATCGCAATGACATGGCAACGAATTAGTCAAATAGGCTTAGAACTTTTTATATGCGCTATACATCCAATTCCTGGTGAATACTATTTCCAGTGGACGACGAAATTGGCCAATAAAAATAAAACAATTGGCACTGAAATGGTGCCATACGACGTAGCTTTATCACTACCTATGTTCCTTCGATTATATTTAATCTGCCGCGTAATGCTGCTTCATTCAAAGCTATTCACAGACGCATCATCACGGAGCATCGGCGCTCTCAATAGGATTAATTTTAACACAAGGTAAGCCCCAATTAACATTTCATTGATTTTACTACTAATGCCAGCAGCGATGACATATTGAGAAATTAGCTGCACCCTGCATAGCATGTGTATGGAGCAGTTCGCAACGAGCCTCAACTTACCTATTCAGCTATCGTATGTTATTTGTTTTGCTTCTTAGCTCGCTTCTCTCTTGTGTCGCTCGCAGTACTGTCAGTTGTCTGATTGGCGCAGGAGGCAAATGTTTACCTATTTAAGGCAACAATTAATTTTACAAACTGCTCGCTGACTTTGGCATGCTTTTGGCATTTGCTTCTCACATTGCTTCTCCCTTTCATATTTTAGCTATTTTCCCAGTCATAGGTAATACTCTAAGCTACCAGCAAATGTCTAAGTTACCTATTTAAGGCAGCGTTTAATTATGCTAGCTGCCCGCTTAATTTGACATGCCTTTAGCTTTTGCTTCTCTCAATGCTTCTCGCTTTCATATTTTAACTATTTTCCCTTGTTTGCTATTAAAAGCAGTAATTAACTATCCAAGCTGCTCGCTAACTTTGACATGCCTTTGGCTTTTGCTTCTCACATTGCTTCTCGCTTCAAATTATTTTATTATTTTTGGCGTGATAAGTAATGCTTTAAGCCGTCAGTTTCAGCGAGACAGGCATGCCACGCAACTGGAGATGCTTGGTAATGAGCTCAGGCAACTGGGCAATGCACAAGCTTTGATGCACTTCTCGCTTTGCATCAAGCTGTCAAGCTCGTTGGGAGAAGCGAGCGTACAAAGCGACCATAGTAGCCATACGAAACAAAGCGAGAAGCTTTGGTGTTGGACAATAAGCAAAGCAAATGTAAAGCTATTTGCTTGCTTTTATTTTTATATTTTCGATTATGCTTCTCAGTTTGCTTCTCGCTTTTATGTGCTATGAAAAACAAGGCAAACCTTAATCAATCAATGGGTAATCAACTTTGCGAATTGCTCGCTTTTGCTTCTCACTTCGCTTCTCGCTTTGTTGCTCCTTGCTTTGACAGTCTGACAGCTGTTTACGTATCTTCAGCTCATTGGCTTCTCTCTTCGTTTTATCAATTTTCTAATTTCTAATCAATTCTTATCACGCTTTATTTTCCAAATAGATTTGTTTTGAAAACACTAATGACAATATGCCCGGGAACGGTTCTATTGGTCTTTATGGTCTCGCTGTGGATCATCGCATCCTGGACGCTGCGGCAATGCGAAAGGTAATGCAATTAACTTATAATAAAAACTACAAATAACAAAATCAAAACTTATGATAGTAATTTATGTAGTAATTTATAATGTTGTTTCTTCAAATGATTTTTATGTTTCCGTTTTTCGAATCTTGAGTTAACTTAACTTTTCTTCAGAATACGTTTATGTTTATTATTTCCATTAATAGTTCAGTTCAGTTTTGTTTATATTCTGGAAACCCAATTAATGTATGCCACTAACACTCTGACATAACTATATATAACTATATACATATATATACATATATATATATATCTATTTATTTAAGAATATATATATATATATGTGTGTATGTATGCCTACCTATTAATACATATTCATGTACATAAATGTATGTGCTAAACATTACGTAATGTCTCAAAGTGTACGCTCAACTTTCCAACCTACACGTACCTTCGTAGCAAAACGCAAAGAGAAAGGAACAAAAACCAGTTCCAAAACGTACCAGATTCTTAAAAGAGTTTTTCACCCGCTTCAGTGTTG